GAGTTAATTTGAAATACACTTTTGTTGTATAATATTTGTTAATTAGTTTTTAGTTTATTGATATTGAGTTAAAATCGAGCATTTTGTAACTCAAGTGTTTAAGAGCATTTATCGAGATTCTAAATTCTTCCTAAGCCGGAATCACTTCTCCCTCGTTGATCAATGAAAAAAAAGAAATTAAGGGGTGAATTATAACTCGATTGGATGTGGTGTTTTTATGGTGTTGAAGCTTGCATTTCTGTTTTCCCTATAAAAACAAACTTAAGAACAATAAATTCCCTTTTGCGGTGGAAGACGTAGAGCACTTGACGGACCCAAACCCTTGAAGATGTAGAGCACATTAAATGAGTAACAGCTGTAGAGTGCTCTATCTCAAAGGGGGATGTGAGTACACTCAAACTAGAGCTTGTAACTTGGGTCAAGTAAACGTACGGTAACCATGCATACGCTTTGGCCTCCCATGTGTCGGTGTATGAGTTAAATTGTCGCCTTTTTTCTTGTCTTTTTTTCCTCTGGTGCTGGTGCTGGTGATGGTGGTGGGTGGGTACTCAACTGATTGAATTAATTTAAGACCGAAAATATTGAAAAAAAGAAGAAAACACTGTGGATGCAATTCCCACCGTCATGTTCCACATGTATTATTAATGTATACATTAAGTGTGGCTTTTGAAAGCATTCACATATAAGAAAGAGCAGATCGACCGTAGAATTGCATGTCCTGTAAAACGTACGTATTGTACGTACCCTTCGGATTAAAGGTATATTTATGGTTGGTTTCCATCTTGTCAATTCTCATTCCAGCTTATGCTTATCAATAATAAGTACATGCATCATCTCCAACAGGCAATCAGGATATTTTTTGGATAGTTAAAGTTATTAGTTTTTTTTTTTTTTTTTTTTTTTTATTTTCTTAAAAGTAAACATTAAATCATATAAACCACGCTAATTCACAGCTCCAGAGACTAATTTTCAAAAAGTTTTAACATAAACCAAATAGGGTTTAACACCATAGTAGATTGAACATCTAAGACTTTTTACCTAGATTGACCTTAGGTCTCTTCATGTATTCATACATGAAAAATTGTTTTATGTAAAAATATTATATTTTGCACTAAAATCAAATTTCATATTTTGATTTGGTGGGAATTTGATTTTCTAGTATTTTTATTTGAATTCAAATGGGGGGTACTTCCTTATTTACATTGTATTCTTAAGTAAATTGAGTAATATAAAAATAAATGAAAGTAAAAGGACAAAGACATTTACTTAAATGTTGAAAATGGAAATAAGGTACTCTGTGTAAGTTCTTAAGAAGCTATAAAATCAAATATACTAACCTTTTGTCCAGATTAGTTGCAAGAACTAGAAATATCTTCTCCAAGAAACCAACACTGTATGCTTATCCTGATGGGGTAAATATTTGATAGCTGAAGCGTGTGTTGTTGGTTATGGAGGGAGCTCTCTATTTATATGCATATATATCTCTTAGAGTTTTGCCCATCAAGGAACTCTAGGATATGTCCTTAATGTAGTAGATATTGGAGTCTCAATCCTAATAGAGTTAGGAATCCCAAAGGCTTTTAGATTTCTGTTTAACATATTATCCAAAGCTGTTGGTCGAGTAAGTCTTTGAGTTCTTGATTAACTTGGAGTCCTAGCAATATCCCTCAGTGATTAGAAGATCACTTTAATGAGTCAAAGATGTATTACCATCTTGCACTCTCCACCACCAGCTGAGCAAAGTAGCAATTTGAAGTACCTACAATGGTTTTTCCGGTGATGGGAGGTGTAGCTGCACCTCCTTGCGCCTTAATAAGTTCGCCACTGACTGGGCTAATATTGAAAACAAGTTAAATATATAGGGTTGTAGCCCTTAGTGTGGTTCCACCCCTGTGTGTTTCATTGTTTGCCAATGAAAATTAGGGTTTAGAATGGGCTACCTAAAGCTCAAGTAGTGAGTAATTCATGATTTCGATTAAGCTCGGTTTGTGGCCTCTTGCTCGATTAAGCTCAAGCCGATTGGGTTGTGCTTGGGGTTTCATGTTTGTAAATGTCTTATTTTAGCCATACCAAAGAAAAAAAGAAGAAGATTAAGCTCGGTTTGAGGTATGAATTCAGGTTGTAGGTACTAGTCAAATTAGAATAATTTAGGGTGAGAGATTCCAGTCGAAATTGATGTTTACTAGGTTTGAGATGACTTTTGTCTCCCAACTTACGTGTAGTTCTCTATCAATATACTGTTCTAAGGTATTTGTAGACATGTGGACAATTTCAAAACAAAAATTCAAATAATGGTCTCCGTTAACGCTCAAGTTGCCACGACATGAACTCAATTCAATCTAATTGATTTTATACCAAGTTGGAGTCGTGAGGATTCAGATCGAAGCTGTAACCCAAATATTTTTCAGTGAATTCAACAATCAGGTGGAAAAGAAGATGGAACAAATATATATCTAAAATCCCTTGTCTCTCTCTCTGTCTGTCTCGTGCATGTTATGCTATCGAGTCTCTCATCTCTCTGTCTGTCTCGTGCATGTTATGCTATCGAGTCTCTCATCCCAAGTATGAGCGCAAGTTTTGCATGTAGGGCGGCGTGCACGCATGTAGGCAAATGGAGCCCACAGAGGGTCCTACTCACATGATTTCACGTGCACTCTACAAATATTAAAATATAATTCAAAAGAAAAAAGCTCACCACAATTCCATCTTCTTTGATTGTTTTGGTTGACACTTACACATGTGACATGCAATGCGAAAGTATTATCCTAGCGCACGCATTCTCCCACCTCGTCATGAGCTAATTGTCAAATATTTCCCAAATCTTCGACACGTCTCTTTTCTTGTTTTTCTTTTCTTTTCTTTTTTTTTCCCTGAAAAAATAAAAGAAAAACTGATTTATTCAAAACATGGTTAATTAATTAGGAGAATTATTTGTAAAAGAAGAAGAAGAAGAACTTCTATATATTTACCTTTTACACTACTATATAAAATCAAATTGTTAGTGTAATGTTTTAGATTTCGAAAATATTCTCGATTTATCTAATTAGAAGAACCTTTCATATAATTCATTCTATCATCTAGTACAATGTCATAAAATAAACTTAAAGGCGTGTAATCACCTTACATTTTGGTATCGGATCTCTACCACCATCCTTTTTGCTGGTTCTTTATGTTTGGAATGAGTCGCATAGACCTTTTACGTTTTCTGTGTAATTTTCACCTCTAAGTTTGTGAGAATTTTTCACCTCTCCTTTGTGAGAACTCTCCACCACTCCTTTGTGAGAGTTTTATTTGTTTTGTTATGACTTGATTTTTTCAAATTTTATCCATTTTTGGTTATTCAGAGTTTGCACTCTTAGTTGGGATGCCTATGCTAGAATTTTTTCGATCTTGAGTGATCATTAGTGGAGGAGCTCTTGCCTTAATTTTGATGTTAGATTGCTCCGTTATTGTAATGGCCTTTTGTGGTTAGTTTGTATTGGCCCCTTGTGACTAATGACTTTTTGGCTGAATTATGAATGAAATTACAAAATTTCTTTATTTAAAAAAAAAGAAAAAAAAAGGCGTGTAATCAATAAACCTCATGTACTTTGTAAATTTGAAAGCTTTTAGATCAAAAAAGTATTTTAAAGATTATAAATACAACAAAACTATGAAGTGTAAGTAATGGGATTTATATATAAACTTTTATAGGTAATAACCATTTGGTTTAGTGGCATCCGATCTCTAACTACGTAAAGATTTAAAATTTTATGTGTTAAGTGAAAAAAAGCAAAGGATTAAAGTTCAAAATCCACATGTCAAGCCCAATACTATTGAATAAAAACTGGACGTAGCCTTATGTAAGAAGAAAGGTGAGCCCAGAAAGTTGAACGGTAATTTCAAGGGCCACAGCTAATGAGCAGCGACCTTCACTTTCCTCCTCGGCCTGCGGGCTCTTAGCAACCCCACACTCGTTTTATAGGTCATTTATTTTTCCCTCCCTATTTCTACTAAAATCATGTGGCAAAGCTATTATTTAACTCATTAATAAGAAAGGAAGAAATGGTCATTTTGGTTGACAAAGATGATTCTCCTGATAATATTATAGATATATATTCACGTTCTGTATAAATTTTTGAAAAATATTTGTCTGTTTATATGTAAAGAATCATTTCTTGTTATATGTCAACTATAGTTTAATACGTGTACATAAATTTTTATATTTATATTTTAATAAGTAGCCACTCTAAGCCTACATGTGTTCAACTTTTATTGGACGGATGAATGACTATTTACATGCAAGGAGCGAATCAAGATTCTAAATTTTTTGACACGAACCAAGGTTCTCAAAAATCGGGGCCATGAGAGCAATGACACCACCTGCACTACCCCATGACCGTCCCCCTCTATATGAGTTGAACTTATTTTTGGGTGAACTTCTAGCGAATCAAGATTCTAAATTTTTTGGCATGAACCAAGGTTCTTAAAAATCGAGGGCCATGAGAGCAATGACACCACCTGCACTACCCCATAACCGTCCCCCTCTTTATGAGTTGAATTTTTTTTTGGTGAACTTCTTTTTGACAGAGGAATGAATCAAGGTTCTGAGTTATTTAACAGAAGAAGGACTATTTAGCAATGGTGTAATTGACTCCTAATAAGAGGTGACAGCCGAACGGCAACGGCAAGCAGTGGAGAAATAAAGACAGAGAAGAAGAAGATTTCGTACACTTCCTTCCATTGCAAATTTGCATGAACCACTCTCTACGGCTACTTTTTCTTTAGATAATCAATAATACCAAAAACAACGAAAGAAAGAGAATATTCCCATCACCCATCTCAAAGATGCCAAATCTCATAATCACTACTGAACTCTTTCCTTCCCCTCGTTCCCAGCTTAAATTCTGAACCTTCATCAACTTTACAAAAAAAGAAGCGGCAGAAAATACAGAATTAATGTTATGCAGAACTGTAAGCTATGGATGATCACTTTGATCATTTTACTGATTGTAACAAAGATGGCAGTGGCTCAGTCTCCCATTCCCACAACTCTAGAAGGCCCATTTGAGCCTGCAACGCGGCGTTTCGACCCATCACTTCGCAGAGGCAGCAATGACTTACCTATGGACCATCCCAGGCTGAAGAAGAATGTGACTCTGAATTTCCCAGAACAGATAGCACTTGCAATATCCTCACCTACTTCCATGTGGGTTTCTTGGGTTACTGGTACTTGTCTGTGCAATTTGAAATTCTGAGTGTTTTGTGCTGTTTTCTTGCTTTCTTTGTTTGGTTGAATGGAATTGATGAACTGGGTTGGTTGGTTTTTTGGGGGTCAGGGGACGCTCAGATTGGGAAAAATGTGACACCACTTGATCCTTCCAAGGTTGGGAGTGAGGTGCGCTATGGAAAAGAAAGTGGGAAGTATGAGAGTGTGAAGAATGGGGTTTCAGTTGTTTATAGCCAATTGTACCCATTTGAAGGCCTCTTGAATTACACCTCTGGCATCATTCATCATGTGAGGATTGATGGTATGGAAACCTTTTGATTCTTGTATAACTTTTTGATTGTGTTTTGTTTATACAATTGAATTGCCAATACTATTTTGAAAATATTAAGTACCGAATGCGAAAAGAATCCCGGTTGATTATTTTATAAGTTGGAGAGAAGAGAGAAAAACACATATTTTGGTGAAGCAAAATTTGTGCTTTATTCATAATGGTGTTAATGGTTGCTCAATTGGGGCCTTTTAGATGAAATTAGCTCCGTTTCATCATAGTGTTAAGTTGTTAACAGAGTGAAACTTGATATCATCTTCAGAGGATGGTCATTTAGTTACATAATGAGCACCTAGAAGATGATAAGTGGAACAAAATATGAAGAGCTCTCTTCTTTGTTGTAGGTCTTAAACCAGGAACAAAATATTATTACAAATGTGGGGATAGCTCTATCCCTGCTATGAGTGAAGAGCATGCCTTTGAAACTTTACCAATGCCTAGCCAAAGCACATATCCTCATCGAATAGCTGTCGTTGGAGATTTGGGGCTCACAAGCAATACCAGTACAACTGTTGATCATTTAATCCAGAATGATCCTTCAATGATTTTAATGGTTGGAGACTTAACCTATGCAAATCAGTACCGTACAACTGGTGGGAAAGGAGCTTCATGCTTTTCATGTGCATTCCCAGATGCCCCTATCAGAGAAACATATCAACCCCGCTGGGACGGGTGGGGAAGGTAAACTGTCTGAATTAGTATGGATCTAAATGCCTTTGCATCCTGTTTCACTGTTATGAATTTTGATATCTACCACCATTTGTGATTCTGCTTCTCTTGAATTCATTGAAATCCTATTAACACGGTCAAAATGGAAGCTCAGGTTCATGGAGCCTTTGACCTCAAGAGTTCCTATGATGGTTATTGAGGGCAACCATGAGATTGAGCCCCAAGTTTCTGGCATCACTTTCAAATCCTATTTGACAAGGTTTGCAGTGCCTTCAGAGGAATCTGGCTCTAAAAGTAACTTCTATTACTCTTTTGATGCTGGAGGAGTACATTTTATCATGTTGGGAGCTTATGTCGACTACAATGCTACTGGTAATTGATGCCATAGCCTTTCTAATTGATAAATTAACTGCTAATTACAAATGAGTTTTGAATGTTAGTGTGTGGTGCTGCAATGCTAAATTATCAAAATGTAATACTTCCTCGGAATCTTTTGTTCTTAATTGTATGCAATGTCCTATCACTGCTCATTCCAGGTGCTCAGTATGCTTGGCTTAAAGACGATCTACATCGCCTAGACCGGACAGTGACCCCATGGCTGGTGGCTGCATGGCATCCACCTTGGTATAATAGCTACTCTTCTCATTATCAGGAATTTGAATGCATGAGACAAGAAATGGAAGCCCTACTTTATCAATATGGTGTTGATATTGTTTTTTCGGGTCATGTAAGTTTAAGTGGATTCTATCTGTAGTCATTTGTTATCGATATGCGTACTTATTTGGAAAATTTCTGTCTGTAGTTTAGCTTTGATGTATCTTCTGTGCTTCAAATACTTTCAGAAATTAGTATGTTATTTTCTGTTGATGTCAAAGAACACGTACCTGTTGGCTCTTCCCCGAAATTGAAAAAACCTGAAAATTTGCTAATTGCATGTTAGGCCACAATATGCTTCTGTGTTAGCAATATATATTATGGAAGGCAGGTATATAAGTTAGTTGACATGTGATCTTTAGGAAAAATATGAAAAAGAAAGAAGGTCAAGTGTACATTTCCATCAATCTCAATTGTACTAATCTTCTCTGCCATGGAAGTTGGTTTATGAAGCATTCATAAGATTTTATTATTTCTTGAACTGGAATTCTTCCAGAATTAAACACATGATTTTTATTGGTAAATAAGTACATCTCATTCATTGTAACGAACTTATACTGCATGATTACGCCCCCAAAAAAGAAACACTTGTACTGTGATGCATGATCTATTAAATTCGTTAAATAAATAAGTTCTACTACAACTCATATATTTCATGACATCAATATTTGGTGATCTTTCATCCAAAAGCACCAAAGTTTGTTGCTCAAAGTGCACAAAAAAAAGAAAAGAAGAAGCCTAAGTTGCAGGTTCTTACTCAATGCCCCAATAAAATGGGAAATTTCTACATGCATCTGATTAATAATAATTACAGAGATTTGATTCCAATTTGGTGTGGCAGACAACAGATTCTTGACTAGGATCATCATTGTAGGCTAGATACAACAGTAGTAGGCAATTCAAAGAGGCCATAGAAATGAAACTGGAAAAATACCTTAGGTTCTTATTGTTGGAGCAAGTTTCTATTTTGATGCTGAATGAGTGCAATATGCTTCTTTTCAGGTCCATGCCTATGAACGGATGAATAGAGTATATAACTACACGTTGGATCGATGTGGGCCTGTTTACATAACAGTTGGAGATGGTGGAAATATTGAGCAAGTTGATGTTGATTTTGCTGATGACCCTGGAAAGTGTCCTTCAGCTGGAGACAACACACCAGAGTTTGGAGGGGTTTGTCATTTGAACTTTTCTTCAGGGCCTGCTAAAGGCAGTTTTTGTTGGAACAAACAGCCAGAGTGGAGTGCATTTAGAGAAAGCAGTTTTGGACATGGCATACTTGAGGTATAATCTCAGTTTCTAATATTCTGCATCGTTTTTTACTTCCCTAGTAAAACAAACTTATCTACACAATGTTTATTGATTAGTTTGGCCATGATTAGCAAATGTAAATGTTTGTGTATTTGCTTCAGAGGTGCAAACCATGAAAGTAGAGGAGCTAGGCGCGATCTTTCGTGATGTCTTCATTCTTTCTGAGCTACACTTTTATAGAGATCTTCCATGACCCTTTTATATCTAAATGCAGGTTGTGAATTCTACATACGCTCTCTGGACTTGGCACAGAAATCAAGATACATATAAGGAAGATAGCCATGGTGATCAAATATACATTGTGCGACAACCCGAATTGTGCTCCCCATCTGCAAAGGTGATTTCTTAGTTCAACACAAAAACTTTTTTACACCGCTGAAACTTGTCATTTTCACTGTTGAATTGGGTTAGCAAAACATGTTCTAACTGTACAGAATTGAAAAGTTTCACAATGGCTCAACTTAGGTGGTGGCTTGATCTTTAGCTATGTACAGAAAAATTTGTGTAATTTTTATTTGTTTCCATGGCCATAAAAAGATTTGCAACAACGTACTTTCATTTTGATCAATTACTCCTACTTTCACACTCACTTTTTTTTTTTTAATCATCCTTCTCAAACTACCAGCCATCAGTTTCTCCCTCTGTGCCCTCACTCTCTGCTGCATTGCACTCTCTGGTAAGCTCCTTTTTCCTCACTTCTTCACTATGATAAAAAGACATTCTTTAAATTCAAATTTTGGTCTCCTAGGTGCTCTCTGTCTCCTTGCCACTCTTGGGAATGTTTTCTCTCCTCTCCTCATCCAAGTAGTCTCTTTCGCTCTGCGGCTGTGCATCTGTGCATTTGTGCTTTCTCTTTTAAATCTCAGGTAAGTTCACTCCCTGAAATTATAATTCTATGTCCATTTCTTATTATTTCTAGTTTTTGTCTGACAATTGGTATCTTATCTATTTATTTATTGCCTAAACGGCTCATAGGTGTTTGATCTGACTGTCGGCTTAATTTCTTGTATCTAATTTTCTTCTTGTTCACTGCTACAGAAGCTTCCAAAATGGATAGATTGCCTCAATTGTTCATTGTATAAGATCATTCAAATGGTGGTTAGATGAAGATCGCCTCAATTGCTTTTGTGCCATGGAGAATGTTAAGAATGGATTATAAGAATGATTAGCAAATGTAAATGTTTGTTTGTGCCATGATAAAGCTGTTTGTGGATGCACTTTGGTTATGAGAGTGAGACTGTACAACTCTTCAAATTTGTTGGATAAAGATGAATTTTAAGAGAAATTAAGACCCAGATTGTTTAAAACAATGGATTCCTTAGGCTTAAAGGATGGTCTTGGAATCAAGTCTTCACATTCCAAGTTAGCCTGTCTCCTAGGCATGAAGGATGGTATCCAAAATTAATATCAACCCTAATATATATATCTGCAGAATTGATTGATGGAATGGAAAATGGTGTGGGATGCCACCATCTTGGGATCTATAACATGAAAACTTATGAAGACAAGTTTGCTGGAATTGGTAAAAAAACATATGTATGGTTTCTCTACAAGAAAATGTTGAGAGCCGATGCCGATGTGGGGAATTAAAGTTTTTTTTTTATTTAAATAAAAAAAAAAAAAAAAAAAAGAGATTTTTTTTTAAAAAAAAAAAAAAAAAAAAAAAAAAAAAAAAAAAAAAAAAAAACAAATGGGGGTCAATTGAACAATTGGAACTGCAAGCTTTTGCATTTGTATTCCCTATAGTTTTAAAATATTAATATTTAAAAGGGTATGGCCGTGCGGCTATCCTCTCTAAATGTATAAGAATATTTTAATAGTATAGCCGTCCGGCTATACTTTCGAAACATATACGAATATTTTAACTGTATAGCCGCGCGGCTATACAGCACAAAATGGTTTTCCATTTTGTAATTAAGCAATATCTTAGCCTTTTTAAATTACTTTAATTATTATTTATTTAGTGAATAATTAGTATTTAAATATTTTATTAATTTAATAAATTCTAATTAATTATTTTAAATTATTTTATGGACTTTGTTTTTTATTTATTTTTATACAAAATTAGTTTGTTTAGTTTAATGTTTTCAATTAAGTAATATGTTGCTTTATTTAATTATATTAATTATTATTTATGTTTTAATTATTCTTTATTTAATGAATAATTAGTATTTAAGTATTTTAATTAATTTCATAAATTACTTAATAAATACTAATTAATAATATTTACTTATATTAAATAATTTTGTGGATTTTCAAAATATTTTTAATTTTTGCATATATTTTAAAAAATTATTTTAGTATTCCAAAAAATGAAAATTATTTAATTTTTGAATACTTTTCTAAAGAGAGAGAGCAATCCCAATCTTGGGTGACGTTTGGAGTTGGACTTGGGCTGCAATCCCAATTTTGAACAATAACCCAAATTGAGTTGGGCTTAGTCTTGGTCTGTTGCCCTCCAATGATGTTTGGATTCTCAGATTTTCCCTCAGACAAATAGATATTGCTAGAGCTTTCTTCTTCTTCTTCTTCGTAGCATCACCATTTGGCTGCCAATAATAAACCTCATAATTATTAGTTTCCAAATCTTGATTAGCAGCCATTTATTTATTTATTTGAAATATATAAATAAAGAAAGCCGAAGAACATTGAAAGCATCATTCGCTCTGTCCAAAAGAAAACGTTTGGACCTCCCACATGCCTCCTGGATCTCCACGCGACTAAAATCCACGTGTCCTCTTCATCGTCTTCATAAATAAACCTTCCCCCTCCTCAGGACCTGAGCATTTTGACTCACTCTCTCTCTCTCTCTCTCTCAATTTCAACTGGAATTCAATGTCGTCGAACAATATGCAGTACAAGAATCTGGGCCGCTCGGGGCTCAAGGTGAGCCAGCTCTCGTACGGAGCATGGGTCAGCTTCGGCAACCAGCTCGACGTCAAGGAGGCCAAGTCTCTCCTCCAGACCTGCCGAGACCACGGCGTCAACTTCTTCGACAACGCCGAGGTCTACGCCTCCGGCCGCGCCGAGGAGATCATGGGCCAGGCCATCCGCGAGCTCGGATGGAAGCGCTCCGACGTCGTCGTTTCCACCAAGATCTTCTGGGGTGGGCCCGGCCCCAACGACAAGGGACTCTCCAGAAAGCACGTCGTCGAAGGCACCAAGGCGTCGTTGAAGAGGCTGGATATGGATTATGTTGATCTTATCTATTGCCACAGGCCGGATGTCACTACGCCGATTGAGGAGACGGTGAGGGCTATGAACTATGTGATTGATAAGGGTTGGGCTTTTTATTGGGGGACCAGTGAGTGGTCGGCTCAGCAGATCACTGAGGCTTGGGGGATCGCCGAGAGGTTGGATTTGGTGGGGCCCATTGTTGAGCAGCCTGAGTATAATTTGTTGTCCAGGCACAAGGTTAGTGGGTTTTTTTATATTGTTTTTGATTTTTCGTTTGTGGTTGTGCCCAGATGGGGAATACGTTTGGCTTTTTTATGAGGGTTTGTGGAATTTTGGGGTTTTTAGTGTGTACCCATTGATTAGATGTGAAGATTTATTCAATAATTCTGAAAAAAAAACAAAATTGTTGGTTGGATTAAATAACAGTCCCCACCCAAAGTAAAAACAAAATTGTTGGTTAGATTATGTATGTGATGTAGTTTATGGGTTTTGATTTGGTGGTGGATTTAGTGTTATAACTGTTATGTGAAAGGGGGTTGCTTTCATTTCACTTTTAGGATGAGATGCAGTTGGTTGATCACTTGGTAGTGCGTTTTCTTTAGAAAATAAAAGATAATTGATGTTTTTGATTGGGGGGATTGGATATTTGATGATTGCATTTTAGACTTAGTGGCTGATGTTTACATAAGCAGATGCTAAGTATCCCTTGATTTAGTATCCAGTCATAGTCACCAGAGAAGACTGGTAGTGAGCAGGGTCACTCGCTCATGTACCATTAAGTAAAAACTTCACATATATAGAGGTTCTCTTAAGTTTTAACTAATTTGAATATGCAGAAGTTCATATTTATATTGGTAACCCCATTTTTGCCAGTTTTCATTCATTGCTGACTTTCCTTCCACCTTTCTTCCCTTCTTTGAAGCTGAAATCCCTGTACAACAGGGACTGAAGCAACTCTCCCATAACCGTATATTCATTCAGTTATGCCACTAGAATGGCAGCGTCCTTCAAACTTCATTTCTCATTTTCATAGCCGTGTTCTATATTATTGTTATTTCCTTGTCATGGGCCATGAAATTAAATCAGTAGCAACTTAGCAAGAGATGAGTATTCCTTGTAAATGATCTTTAATGATTTTCTGTTACCCTCTCTGTATTGAATGAATTTATTGGTTCTCGGAACCTAGAAAGCTCTTATCTTTAGTTCTAACCAACAATCAAGAAATTATGATTTCAATTGTTGTGCTATCTCTAGCTCAATGCTTATCTTAAACTCTGTGGCATTTCTACTCGTCCATGTCTGTTTCATTTATTACTATATTACAGTTGACGCCCATGCCTGTTAATTGGGCTTATGTTTGTACGGAATTTTTTTTTCCTGTATGTATGGTATACTCCAATAACTGTATGCCTTTATATTTACTGATGATATCTGTCGCTTTTATGGAGAAGGGAAACAGCAATGGATGGATTTTGTCCTCTCTCTCTCTCTCTCTCATACTGATGATTCCTTCAACTATTACATGGGTGCAGGTTGAGTCTGAGTACCTCCCACTGTACACCAACTACGGTCTGGGTCTTACCACTTGGAGCCCACTTGCTTCTGGTGTGCTCACTGGAAAATATAACAAGGGAAATATACCACCTGATAGCCGATTTGCATTGGACAATTACAAAGTAAGATTTCAATTAATCACTATGATAGCTCTGTTCCTAAGTACATGCATTGTTGAATTGTCTAAATTGATGACCCCAAACTGCTGTAGTCTGTATTTTGTGTCTCTTCAAAATCAATAGAGGAGTATTGTTGAGATCAATCTTTTAGTTTCATTTTTTTTATCGTATTATCATAAATTATCATTCTGGTGTCAAAGTTGCATATACTGTTATACTTTTTTCTTCTTTATGGGTAGGACATTAACTTTTTGACTTATGCCTTGCAGAATCTTGCTAGTCGATCACTGGTTGATGATGTGCTGAAAAAGGTTAATGGTCTGAAGCCAATTGCAGATGAATTAGGTGTACCATTAGCTCAACTTGCAATTGCATGGTGTGCTGCTAATCCTAACGTCTCATCAGTTATTACTGGTGCTACAAAGGAGTCCCAGGTTTGTTTTCAAAATATCACATCTCTGAGAGATAATATTAAGGCTGTGATTCTTTGCTACTATGCATGTGCTTGATCTGCTTGTGTTTGGCTATTATTCAACTGTATGAAAATTTTCATCTCCGTCTGTGTCATGCCTCCAAAGGGGTCTGAACGTTATTTTTCATCTTAATAATGGTGTTCAATGAATGTTGTTATTCCTGTTTTTGTGAGATGTGGTGGGCATTACTATTGTTCCTTTAGTTTGACTGTGCTCTTCAAGAAATGATTTATTGATCTTTGAGTGGTCCTATCAGTTTATCTGGAATTTTATATGTAGGATTCAAATTTTAAATATTAATAGTTTAAATTAAAGTATTGGCACTTTGTTTACTTCTTATGTTTTAAGTTTATTGCAGTTATTCCCGCCTGCCGTATATTCCTGATTTGGTATTTATGATTTTCATATTGTGTTATGTGAAGCCTACCAAGTGAATATAATTTCTGCAAGCCATGGGCCTACTGCCATACTCTTATTCAGTAGGTCATTTTTCATATGGAGGGTAAAATGTTGGTTAAAATGTGCCAGTTCCAGTAATTTGTTGTGTACAACATTCTTAAAATAGTGGTCATTTGCAAAGTGTGATGCCGTCAACGTAGGCTTCCCAAATCTTTAAATCCACAAAACATCTAACAATAGGAAGTAGGTAAACAAGTGTGAAGCATTCCATTGTGAAGGGAGAACTCTGTTTGTTGGAAGTGATGATACTGTAGAAGCAAATAGAGTTTTTATGTTCTCCCATTCCCACTAAAAAGGTGGGCAATAGCAATGTCATCTGTTTATAGTGACCAAAAGCTGTTATCGTCTATGCAGATTCAAGAGAACATGAAAGCTGTAGATGTAATCCCTCTATTAACTCCCGCTGTGATGGAGAAGATTGAGGCTGTTGTTCAAAGCAAGCCAAAGCGTCCAGAGTCATATAGGTAAAAACACACGGTATATTTATGGGCTCCACGTATTTCTGCACATTACACAGCAGACTATGATCTTCAAACAGACAGAAATTTAAACTCATGCCTTTGTATTGTGGTTGGTTAGATTGTTTGATATTCTTTCATGTCAATGCTCAGACTATTCCCTGGATGTAATTTGTATGGTGTTTTAGCAATGAACTCGTCTGTTTTCCAAAAACAAAAAATTAAAAAAATTTGAGATTTAAAGAGCGAGGAAGTCGTGATGTTCTGAGCACTTTCTGATGTATTGTGGAATTGGGTTTAAAGAGATTTTAAGATTGTGATAAATTGCTTGTATTTATTGTTTTGGATTTCTATATCAGCTGAAGTTAGAGTTCATCTGAGCCATTTTGAATTTTTTTCAACATTTGGACATTTGGTATCCAATTGCATGGTTCAGCAAAAAAGATGGGGTGTGATGTGAATAGGTTAAGTTGTACGAAAGGCATGCTTTCCAAGTTGATAGGTACTAACACTTCAAAGGACTCTAAAACAAAGGGTGGAGTAATATTGACCTCTTCCAAAATCGTCTGTTTTCTTAATATTTTTGTTGTCCGAACCAAACTAGTCTTCATAACCAGAAACACCATCCTCAAGCATAGTCCAACTGCACTTCGTTTGAGTCTCGGCATTGATCTTAAACTCTCTGGAGTTTTCTTTCTCGGCATCGATCTTAAACTCGCCGGAGTTGTCTTCCACAGGAAGGTACAACCTGGACTCCGAAGTTATCATCCTTGGATTTGCAATAAGCAGTGAGGTCTTGCACCTCCCAAAAGCAACCGGCCGTATCTTCTTCCACCAAGCCTACTTTGCATCTCCGACCAAGCAAAAAATAGGATTAAACAAGAGAAAAAGAGCCCTTACAAATGCTCTAATTGATGACCTAAAACCCTGGTAATAGCTCTTATTTTAGACACAAGGAATTAGTTTCTTTAATCACAAATTAAGTGCCAAAACTCAAGAATTCAAAAGGGCTCAATCTTTGTGGAGGGCTTGAAGCTCCAATGGCAGCGGCCACCAGAACAAAAAATAAATCTTTCGAACCAAACTCATTACTCAAAACTCAAATAGTCATATACAACAAGTGTCATTCAAATTAAAAAGAAACAGTTATTAGCACTTCAAAATACTCATCTTGCACCCTTTCTTTCTTTCTTTCTTTTTGACTAAGGGAGTACATATCAACTATTTTAACATGTTAATAACAGTTCCCAACTTAAATACAAACAAGAAAATATACAAAATTCAAATAATCCAAAACTATTTATTTTAATGTGATAATGCATGGCCAACGGGGTCTAACTCATTGGAAAAAGAATTTACCTTGTGAAACCCACCTCTATTTATAGTTTAGACTATCATTTGTAGTTTAACAAAAATTATGACGATGCATGAGGTTCATTTTAATAGCCCGTCCGAGGCCTAAAAGCCTCACACTTCGGTCCATGAATTTCAGTTTAATTCACATTCTATTTTTGTGTATATTTCTGTTTATCTACTTTATTTTGTGTATCAAAATGGCTTTGCCCCGAGATCTTTTAATCAAAATATCTATGAAAAGAAAAAGATAAAAAGAGAAAGAAAAAGAAGAAAAAGAAGAGAGATTCATAAATTAGTTTAGCAGTTAGGCCTATTCCTTTCCCTCCATTCCCTGTAATGATGCCGCGTAATCCTTTGTATTGTTTGTCGTTTCAACTCCGACCCTTATGCAACGTTCTCTCTCTCTCTCAAAACCAACAAAACCCCAACCCAAATCCATTTTTATATTTTTTTGTTTCTTTCTGATTTGACCCAAAATGTTGAAATACCAGTGCACCAGCCTTTAAGCTTTGATTGCAAAGCTTGATCAGCGCATTTTTACGACCATAAAGGTACCCATTTTGCTATTTCTTTTCCATGTTCATGTTCATTTTCTTTTTGCATGTTCATGTTTGAGCTTTCATTCTCATGTTCTCTTAAATACTTGATGACAAGATGTTTGTCAAAAGTACAAAGCATAACAATAGAAATTTGGGTTGGTTTTCTTAATTGTTTGGTTAGGTGGAAAGGAAGGCAATATTGGGTTGGTTTGGTTATTGCAAAGGCGTTCTTCATTGAGAATCAACTCTATGAAAATCTTTGCACTTTTCTTTTTTGGGGGCTATCTTTCATTATGGAATTGAGGAACCTGGTAATGGTTAATTTTCCACAAATGCATGATCTTGTTGGTTTTGGATGTTCTTGAATGGTAACTTTCATAAAGACAGGAAGTATGGAGATGACCCATCAAAGACTTCGTACACAGTTTAGTAATTTGGCATTCAATGTCAAGCTCACTGCGGCTTTCGTTACAAAAGAAGAATTTTTTGAAGATATATGATGGAGGCTAGAGAGTGTTTATAGGTGCATCATGGGATGAGTTTTTATATAGAACAAGTTTTTTGTGTTTAGTATTATGTACTTCAATTTGGAGAAGCAGATTTTTAATTACTTGTCATCAAGGATCTAAAGCTTGAACGCCAGAGAATGCTCATATGTGAAGCCTCAATGAAGTAAACTCCTTTTGAGACCATGACTAGTGAGGCTCCAGGTACTTCTCGTCAACAGTTCTGCAAAGATACAATAAATCATGATCGAAGTAACAAAAGTGCTGCAGATGACAATGAAAATAATATTTGTGCACAGACTGGTGAGGAATTTTCAGCGGAGTTTCTGCAGGATCGTATTTCACAAAGAAGATTAGCCCCAGTAGTGACTGGCGTTGATCAGCGCCAGTCGAAAAGAGTGGGTTTTAATTTAAATAAAAACCAGAAGCTTGTTTATGAGGATCTCGCTGGTGTTGTTGGACTAAGGAGAACAGATTCTGACTGCAGTTCGGAATTCTCAGATTTTAGTCCAGCGGCTGCTACCGGCTTTGTGGCTGACATAGAGAAAAATGTTTATCCTAGTAACATAAGCAGATACCACTGGGAATATGGTGCTATTGGGCAAGTATCAGGTAAGTTTTCGGATGAAGTTAATTGTGATCGGGTTATTGGAAAACCAACTACTCCACCTCTTTATGTACTGGAATCCCCTCAGTCATACCATCCTTATGGTCAAGTATTTTCTGAAGGTTCTTTCTCTTTCAAAATGAAATTTCTCTGCAGCTTTGGGGGAAGAATATTACCAAGGCCAAATGATGGGAAGCTCAGATATGTGGGTGGAGATACACGGATTTTATCTATTCGCAAAGGCACCAATTTGGACGAACTAATGAATAAGACTTTTGCAATTTGTAACCAACCTCACACTATTAAGTACCAACTTCCTGGTGAGGATCTTGATGCACTTGTATCTGTGTGTTCGGATGAGGACCTTCATCATATGATAGAGGAATATCTTGAGCTAGAAAGAACTTCTCAAAGATTGCGGATCTTTCTTGTTCCTTTAAATGAAACTGAGAGCCCAAGTTCTGTGGAAGCAAGGGTAACACATCCAATTGGTGCCGACTCCCAATTTGTTTTTGCTGTTAATGGCATGCTAGACCCAAGTCCTCGGAAAAGTTCCAGTGGGCAAAGTTTGGCCAGTCAGACTAGCCAGCTTGGAAATACCTCGGATTATAGTCCAACTTTTCGTAGAGAATCTCCTACAGCCACATATTTAGAGACCAAAGATTATAGTCCCAGTTCCTCAAATGTGTTGGGAACATTAACTAAACCTGTTCCTCAGTTCCTAGCTACTCTTCAGATCCCAAAGAAGTCTTTTAATCACTCCCCTCCCATATCTCCTGTTCCACTTCAACATAGAGATCCCAAGAGTTCTAATGTGCAGTTTTATTTGGATCGACCATATTGTGATGGTAACGGAGGCATTGCTCCCTCTGTTATGGAAAAACTTCCATGTGACAATACCTATTATCTGGATGCTGTGGGCTATAATGAAAATCTTCATCATGGGCCTCCAGTGTTGAATTACCATCATCATAACAAATACTTGGCTGAAACTTCCCGGACAAGAAAGTCCCAGAATGTGCACTCCCACAATCGTAGCTTTAGTGAGAATTCTGTGCCTTCTCCAAAGTATGGTCAAAGTGGTATGAACTCTGAGAGACTTGTGCCTCTGGAAAAGGCCCTACATTCTGAAAAGTCTGTTTCTCATCCTACAGTGGGATTATTTTCAGGGTTTGATGATAGAGATGCTTCTCATCACAGAATAATGCATGCAGTACTTTCTGACTCTCAGTTGCACGGACATGTTCAGAGGTCCTCAGAAGGAGAAGTTGTCCCAGTGTCCTCATTGAAATGCAGAAGAGCAAATTCACCTTCACTAAAGATGCAAAGATCCTCGCAAGAATGGCCTGTGCAACAGGAAGACATGGTTGATGGGAAACATGAAATGGTTGAATATAGTAATCAATTCACAATCAGGAAACCTGACCAATGTAAGGAGGAACAAGGTCTGGGGATGTTGAACCGGACAGACAGGAATGACACTTGTGCTGATAAAAACTGGAACAAATTTGAAGGAAGTGTTGATGATATATCAAATGATACTGTCATGGAATTTAAGAAGGTTCAAAATGTGAACTGCCTGAGCAGTGTTTCCTTATCTTCAGATGATTCACAATTCCCCGGAGGTGGGGTTTCTGGTTTACCAATTTCTGAAAATGAAGGTTCTAAAGATACTATGGGTCGCCAAGGCTACGAATTTGACACAACTTCTCAGTTCTTTCTTAGGAGCCAAAGTTGTACAAGGGATCAGCAGAGTGCTACAACTGAGAGAATAAGTGGTCAACCAGGGATCAGCAGGGTTGCCACTCAGGAATTCTTAGATGTAAGTATTTTTCCCTTTGCAGATTTGTAAAAAATATTTTCTAAAAATTCTTAATAAGTTCTACCTATTTCAGAAATTGGCTACAAGTGCTGCTTCAGACGGAGAATATTCTGCCCTTGACAAGGACCCTGTGAATTATCCTGAGTATGTGGTCGAAAACGTAGGTCTTAGCAGACAGTCTTCTGAGGTAACGAAGTGTGACGATGCTATCCCTGTCCAGTCACAGCGCTTGGATGATCATCATGACAACAAGGCGAAGGAATCAGTGGTTATTGTTGAGGACTTAACTAATAGTACACCGCCAGCTATCCCCTCCTCTAAAGTGGCCTATCATGTCTCAAATATAGAAGATGAGGACAGTGATGAATGTTCGTCTCCTAGAGAAACAGACACAGGAAGTACAGCTCCAGAATCTGATGACAAGGTAAACATACTCCTTACTAAATTTAAGCTAAGATTTTTATGTTAATGTGTCTGGTGGTAAACTTAAGCTCCTATCCTCTATTTTATAGGGTGTGAGAGCTGATGGCAATCATAGGCATGAAACTATTAGCGATGTTGCAATAGCTGAAATGGAAGCGGGCATCTATGGTTTGCAGGTTGAGAACGACTATCTTGATGGATTTATGCGTGATCTGATATTACTTATCTCTTCTCAGCATATGATGGATGCTTAATTTGTTTGGCAGATCATAAAGAATGATGATCTCGAAGAACTGCAAGAGTTAGGATCTGGTACATATGGAACTGTCTATCATGGGAAGTGGAGAGGAACAGATGTTGCTATTAAGAGAATAAAAAAGAGCTGTTTCTCCGGCAGATCATCAGAGCAAGAGCGACTGGTGAGTCCCCGAACTCATTAGTGTTCAAGCAGTGGAGTTTCTTATCTGTTTCAGTTCTGGTTGTCATGTTCATGTGCTGAATTGATGTTACAGCTTCCCATTCCTTGAAGTATATATAAA